TCTCTTCCTAAAGGACCTTGGAAGAGCTAGCGGGGCCAGTTTTGGTGTGAATCTCCTGACAGTATTTTATTTTACTGCAGGAGGTCCCAAACCTGGCAGAACCCCAACAGGGGTTGGGGGGAAATTCTGAGAAAATGCACATTCCTGATGCCCCTCCCCCTCTCCCTGCACCCTCCATCCCCCACCCCCACCCCTGAGATTCTGATCTAACAAGCTGTGGTTGAGGGCCAGCGATTGGGTTTTGCCACAACTTCCTCTAGAGGAGGTGAGTCAGGTGCTCTGAGGATCGCATTTGGGGACCTAGAAATTGCACCGTCTTCCCCTTCCCGCCCTTCCCTGCCCAAGAGGATGTAGGGACGGAAAACATGATCCCGCACAGCTGCGTGCATCCACCAAAATAATGCTGCCTCGAACCAACGGAGTTCTAATTTTCCATTGTTATCAAATAAAACAGTGCAGATGAAAACAACTTAAAAACACAGCGTGACTCGAGAGAAGGAAGGTGATCATCACGAGCCTTGAGCAATCAGGCGCCTGATTACAAATGTGTTTTGGGACAACAGTTAGGCTTCCCCATAGCATCATTGTCACGTGGTCCCAGAGCCTCTGCCTGAAGACCGGGAAGGAGCTTCCCAGGAAGAGAGGGCTCCTTGTCCAGTGCCCCTTGCTCCTGGACACTCTGCCTTGGTCAAGTCAGATCACCTTGAGGTCTATGTGAATCCATTTGCCTAATGTACACAATCCCTGCTTACTTCAAAATCAGAAGGGGACCCGCCCAGCTGCAGAGAAGAGGATGACTCACATATATGCATATGCCTCCCAAACAAACACACTGGCACACACACACAGACTCGGTCACTGATGCCAACGCCCATATCGACACAGATACCCACGTGCAGTTTCACATACATGTATGTTCCCTTGGAGGTTCTTCTGGGTCTGCTTCCATGTGAATGTGCACATCCCTAGAGGACACAGAGACACGGGGGTCTAATCATTCTTCCTTAGATAAATACACAGGCAGGGGATCCCAAGCACACTTCCGTGCGCTCCAAATCAGCAAACATGCCACGTGTAGTAGTCCTGGTCCCACTGCTACCTCAGTGCTATGTAAGGGCAGGCTCATACCCTGACCCCTTTTCCTGGATATGTATATAAACCCTCAATTCAATGCACAGCCACTGTGTTCTTCCTGAGTCTGTGTGTAATGAGAGAGAGATGTTTGGAAAAAATCACGCAAAGTTGCAACGGGGACAGGTGTTAAGAAGGAGATACAGTTGTTTTGGGGACATCTGAGATGGAGAGCTCAGTAACAGTTCTCCTGGAGAGGTCTGGTTTTGGCCAAGAGCAAAGGAAGGCTAGATCATTTCTAGAGAAAGAGAGAAGAATATGCCACTCAGGGAGAAAGGCACATGCAAAGGTCCTGTGCTGAAAGGAAACCTCTCATAATAAGAAGTTCTAAGAGAAGGTCAGTGCAGCTGGTGTGCAGAGGGAGGGCACAGCAGGTGCAGGATGAAGCTGCCAATGGGGTTAGGGGCCACACCTGAAGGGCCTTTGGGGCCCCAGTAAGGTCTTTATCCTAAGAGCATTTAGGAGCCATCGCTGTGTTTATAGCAGAGATCCGATCTGAAAGCAGGCCCACTCATACAAAAGCATTCTTGGATAGATCAGTGCACACATATGGGCTCACAGGCACACTGCATGTTTCTTAGGAATGCATGCTGACATGTGAGTGTTCACTTGCAAATGCTGCCTCAGTGAACACACCCGCATGTATTATACACATGGTGTATATAAGTCCAGTGGGCGCTGGGAGGCGGGCAGACACCCTCCTCACAGGGTTCCATCAGCACTAGGCCTGTCCTTGGCCAGGGATGGGGAAGTGGCACATCCGAGCCGAGCCTTCTGACTTTGGAGCCTTGGGCTTTGCTGTTTGGCCTCATGCGTGAGCCTCCAGCGCCCGCTCCCCCTCCTCTCGGCTCCCAGCACCCAGTGACAAGGTGGGGTTTCTTCCAGAACACGATCATTGACTATTCCTGGCCCAGGCAAGGAGGGGAGGATGGGCAGGTCGGGTTGCATAAAGATTGCCTTGTGCCTTCCCAGAGTTGTAAGCAGAACCTCTGCCCGGCTCCAAGCCCCGAGTGCTCTTTGCAGAGAGTTGGCAACGGAGAGAAGTAAACAGAAGGATGGGAATCAGAGGTCTGTGGGTTCTGGTGGGGACCGTGAGTGGCTGGAAGTAGTATGTTCCATACGGGACCACTGCGGGGAATGTGACACTGGAGGAAGGAGCAGACAAAGCCCGCAGGAAAGCCCTCTTCAGGCACAAGGTCTGACTCGGTCCCCTGCAGCCTTGGCTTAGCAGACTCTCCTACACACATGTTTACGCATTCACGAATTTCCCTCCAGTGGGTGTAGCATCTCACAACAGAGGAAGTAACAAGTCACTTAGCAGCCACACACCCTGCCTTGTTTTCCCTCCAATGCATTAGAACTACACTTGTGTTCATTTGGCTCCTGTGTACCAGCAAAGCCAGCAAGGGCCTGGGCCAGGCCAGAAACAGACTGAGGGAGATCAATAGGAACATTCAGGCTCACCTGTGGCCTAACATCTCGGGGCCATAAAGATGTTCCCAAGTGGATTTGCATAGTCCAAAGACTCCTACCCCCGGAGAATGTATGTCTTTAAGTGTGTGCCTTGGCAAATATTTTCCTCTGTGATTAAAGGAATTATATAATGTAATGTGAAGCTCTTTTTTATTTTGCTTCAGGCTGTGCAAGGAACATCTTTCTTTGCTCCCAGTTGGGTGCTCTTTTGTGCTCTCTTGGCAGCAACCTGAGATCCATCAAGCGCTGAGGGCTGAGCACTGTGCTCAAGGGGGCACCGTGTCGTAACTCCCCGCCGTATTGACCCAGCTCCTGGCCATTCACAGAGGGCTTTTAAATCTGCCATCTTATCCAGTCCTCACAGATCTGAGGTCAGCCTGGTTGTTTCCATTTCACAGAAAAAAGACTGAGGTTAAAGGACTTGCCTAAGGGCATGGATTGGCCCTTGAACTTAGGTCTTTATACTTATCCTCAGGAAGCAACACAAGTTGGGCTGCACTCTGCTACCCTCCTGGAACCCAGGGCTCTCCTTGTTGCACTTCTCTGCATTGTATCTTATAAATAAACTAGAGGCCTGGTGCACAAAATTAGTTCACAGGTAGGGTCCCTAGGCATGGCTGTGATCAGGGCCAATAGAGGCCGCCCGGCTGCCAGCTGAGCCCTCCCCTCCCCTCCCCAGCTGCTGGCTGCCAGCCAGGGCCTTCCTTCGTTCCGTGCCACCCCCTGGTGGTCAGCACACATCATAGTGAGCAGTCTGCTGGTTGAACTCCGGAGACACTTTACATATTAGCCTCTAATATATATAGATTCAGGGTTAACACCCCCTACTTCTCCCCCCCCCCCCCCACACACACACACATTCCCAGCACAGAAGCCACAGCTGCCAAGCTGCAGATAAATAATCCCCTGCTCCAGGGATTGTCCCCGGGATGCTTTTAATATTGACAAGCCTCAAGGGTGGGTGAGTTCATGTTAGGAGGGGGCAGTGTCCAGTTCCATCAACTGTGTCTTAGAGCAAAAACTCCAAGTCTTTCTGGTCCCACATGCCAGTCACCAGATGCACGTTCACTGGGTCAGAGGGATGGGATGCTGTGTCCTGCTTTCTATGCCCGCCCCACCACTGAGGCTGCCCTTGTTCACGTTGCCTGATTCCTCTGGATCAGGATGTTTCTGCGGGAAGACCTGGTGTGATCTGCCCCCTCCCACACCCACTGGGCACAGGCCAGCCTGCTGCAGAGGGCCAGGTTCCACACCTCGATAAAAATTGCAGGCTCCCAGAAGTATTTCAGCTTCTGGAGAACGGCTCATGTTTGGCTGGAATGTTTTATTTTAGTCATAGCAATTAGATGTTCTTGTTTTGCACACGCATCTTCCAACGGAATTGGCTTTGACACAGGTGAGCAGCATTTAATGGGTCTGGGAAAAAGTGGGATAGATGACAAATTCCAACCGCGAGGAGAACTCCCATTGGCAAACCCTCCTCTTCAGAGCACCAGCTTATCTGGTTTGCTCCGCTTTCCAAAGTGTGAGTAAGTCATTAATTCATTTATTCAAAGATCTTTGAACACGTACATATGCCATAGGTACAACCATGACCAAGGTAAACGTGATTGGTCTATATATATATATATATATATAATTGATTTTTTTACAGAGAGGAAAGGAGAGAGATAGAGAGCTAGAAACATTGATGAGAGAGAAACATCGACCAGCTGCCTCCTGCATACCCCCCACTGGGGATATGCCAGCAATCAATGTATATGCCCTTGACCAGAATTGAACCTGGGACATTTCAGTCCGTAGGCTGATGCTCTATCCATTGAGCCAAACTGGTTTTGGCTCCCTATTTTTTTTAAGCTTCTTACAGTCAAGTGGAGAAGACAATGTAAGGGGATTATAAATGACATTTGGATCAATCTCCCTAATACCAACTCCAGAGAATCTTAACTATAATATACGGATGAACAGGGTTAAGGGAGGGGAAATTGGTTTCTGGGTTTAATCAGTGGGTTCAGAACACTCTCTGGTACCTGTCCACAGCAGACTGGCCATTAATCATTCATAACAATGTTACTATGTTCCTTTTAAAAACATGACGGGGGGGGGGGGGGGGATGGAATTGAAGGTGGCTCCCAAGGTCATCAATTGTCTCAGTTGTAGTCCACCCCTGGGCTACTGTGTCCAGTTCTCAGATATCTTAAATGGGCATCCTGCATTTTATTTATTTATTTATTTATTTGTTTTGTTTTGTTTTGTTTTGTTTTTGTTTTTGCAAAAACTAAACCACATACATATTACTCCCAAAACTTGAATGTCAAGAGCAAAACTCTGGCTATTAAGTAATAACAACAATGCCAATGCAAAACAACAAAATGAGAAATCAGAATTATGGCATCCTGGATTTTAATCTGATGCCCCTACTAGAGAACAGGAGCTAAGATTCTGAGAAAACCCAACACTTTGTCCTGAAATAAATAATTGAAGGAGCCTGGCTTTTTAGCTTGGAAGCAATGATAGGAAGAGCCTGCATTTGTGCAGGGAAGCATTTTCCAAACAGCATTTCTAAGGGTCTATGTGGAAAACAGTACGGCACATTGGGAGGAAAAAGAAAAATTGTGGGAGGCAAACCCTTGGGAAACGCTGCACGCCCAGCATTTTCTGCTGCAGCACCCACTCCGCCCAGCATAGTAACGGTTGTGAACAAACAGTCTTGCAGGAAACATACCTGATTGACCCGCTTTAACCTAGCCTGCCCACAGAATGCTACTGATGGGCTTCTGTCTGTTGGTGTTGACGTGTTTGTTTAGAGGGGACGCCTATGAACGGTGGGCAAACTTCCTACTCCGCTCAGCACCCGTGGCGGGACCCCGGCATGAAAAGTGAAAGTTGTCTTCAGACGATCCCGAGCACTGCTGGGAGGAAACCCCTTGAGCTTTTGCAAACCAAAGGGCAGATTTGAACCCTACGCACAGGCACATCTAGGCAACAAACGAACACTAGAACTTTCTAAACATCACAATAATCTGTTTCCTGTTCCTGGAGACATTAAAGCAGACACGCAATGCCATCAGGGCCACTGGAGGAAATGCCTGCCCCGCGTAGGACATTCTGAGGACCCACCCTGAAAGGTGTGTACACATAAGACACACGGGGGCTTCCTCCAGCAAACTGTCTTTAAAACTATGTCCCGGGCTCCATTTCTCTTCTGTAGTCCGAGTCCCATCCTTTGGATTCGCTCTTACTGTGTTGCCTTCAGTGTTATGGACCAAACCCCTCAAGGTCAGTCCTTGTCAGCCAATGGTCTTTGCTCTGCTCTGGGCCTCTTCATAGCCAAGCCCACCACCATGGGCCTCGGCCGCTAGGAATCCCACCCTGAGCCTCTAGGTGGGGCTTGCAAACCTCAGATGCGGCAGGGAGCTCACCGCAGAGCTTAGCAGCCCAGAGAAGGGTGGGGTCTGAGAAACCTGGCCCCACAGTCCTCTAGGCTTGTGAGACCTGCCCTCCCCGACCACACGTGTCCACAGTGGAGTCCAATCACCACGTAGCTGAGGCCCATGGCATACTAAAAGGGAACAGAAGGCCAGATCCCAACTCTGCCACCTTCCTGAGCCTATGACCCAGACACATTTCTATAGCATATTTCTCTCTGGAAAAAAAGAAGTGATACACTGCATCAGAGTCTTATGAAAATGAAAAGAGATTAAAAGTACATAACAGACTCGGCAGCGTGGACATTCAGGAAATGCTTATTTAATGGAGGATTGTGGCCATGACAGCAACAACTGTCTAAGAAGGTAAAGCTCTTCTTTAGAAATTCTCTGATCAGCGTGCCAAGATGTCAGACCCCTGCCAAGGCCATAGCTGGAGACCATCTAGCTCTCTACCCCCGTTCCTTTTAAGACTTGGTGCTTGAGAACAGAAAGTAAGGCATGTGCAGCCCTAGCCAGTTTGGCTCAGTGGATAGAGCTTTGGCCTGCAGGCTGAAGGGTCCCAGGTTCAATTTTAAGAATAGAATAAGGCATGTGTACTACAGCATGCTACTTTCCTCACACAGTCTAGAATCCTGCGTGGCCGTTTCTGGATTTCAGTAGCTGCAGCCTCATCCATTCTAGACCCCAGGCCTCATCTGTGAGACAAGGGGTTGGATTAGAGTTGCTTCTAGCTGCTGTGAACTGTGCCTTTGAATTGGGACGGTGAATGCAGGTATTTAAGTAATATTAAGGGTCCATGGTACTTAATGGGGAAAAAAACACCTCACCAAACTAAAGCAGCATGTGTGTGTGTGTGTGTGTGTGTACATGGCAACACACAATATACACAAGGGGCTTTGAAATCATTTAAATTGCCCCCCATGGTTGTGCCTGAATACACGTCTGGCAAATAAGGAGCTGGACCCAGACTGAAGGAGTGAGATAAGCCCTTACCTCCAAATGGGAAGAATAAGCCCGAGTCCCGGCCCTGACTCTGAGGGCAGAGCTGCCTCCCCATCTCGGGGGGGCGGGGGGTAGGGGGGTTGGCACCGTCTCTTCCCACCTTCACGTGAGGGGCATGGTCCCAACATCTCCGGGTGCCATGTCTTGGGAAAGAGCCTCTGATCTATTTTTGTTGGATGTGCATGCTCTCCAGGAGGATTACCATCGGGCTGACTCAACCCGGGCTTATTCCTTTTGTTTGATTGCTCTGCTTTCATAAGGCAGGCTCCGCGGCCAATTTTAGCCCTTCTTGGATTAAGGGAGTGTCCAAATGAAGGTACTGGAGCATTTGTCACGGTTTCTGCCGGGATGCTTGCCTCCCCCTCCCCCTCCCCACCCCACCCTGACGACGCTCCCTTCCATCTGGCACAGGCACAGCCCTCCCGCTCCGTGGATGACACGCTAAGTCGAGTCTGGCTTTCACATTAGCCGAGAGGAGGCCCTGAAGTCAGAAATCCTTGGCACATGAGTCACTTGGTCTCTCGTGCCTTCTTCCCTCAACTGTGAGTAGGCGGAGCTCTCGCTCTGTCTCCCCATGTGCGGCCCCCGACAGAGGCAGGCTCCTGCGAGGTGGCCCTTCCCCACTGGCAGGTCCCTGCTTCCACAGGGGGGCCCACTTGCACAGTCACAGCCCCAGGGGGTTCCTAGTAAAACAAGGTATCTCTCTGTCTCTCCGCTTCCACACCCGGCCCCCTCCGGACCTCCTGCAGCACCGCCCGCGTGCACTTACTAACATGCAGAAGTCAGCCTTCCTGAAGAGCCTTCTGTGGCTCCCTATTGCCTTCAGGACAACGGCCTCAGCAGGTGAGTTCGCAGGAATCACAGAGGAAACTACTGCAAGAATGACACTGCCCACTCCCCGCAGACCCCTGCAGGCACCCTGCACCTCACGGGGGCCAGGTGGTGTGCTGGCGGTAAACAGAGACAGAAGGCTTGGGCCCTGTGCTTAAGAAGCTTATATACTTTTCAAAGAACAGGTCACCAGGTACACAAAAATAAGGTTGGTTTTAATGTTTAAATACTGGAAGTGCTTTTAGAAATCACTGACCTTGCCCAACTGCCTCTCACAGTGGAAACGGATGTCCCAAGATTGGCAAATTATAAGGAAAAACTTGTCTCAGGAGAGGTCTCTCTGCTTCTAACGCTGCCTCCACCACCAGGAGCCCCTCTGCACTCTGCAGCCAGAGCCATCTTCCTGTGGCCCTACAGGCCTACAATAGAAGCCACACGTCTTCCCAGACCTGTGGTGCCCAGGGTGGTCAGGTGCACGCAGCCTGGCCATTCCCTGTGATGACAATATCCTTCAGCTTCAGGACTAATGGCCCCTCCTCAGGGCTGTCCTCCCTGACCATGCAAGTCAGGTGCACGGCCCCTCTCTCCTTCTCATCACCCTGATTGGCTGTGTTCACGGTACATAGTACCATCCACATCCTCTTGTTTACTGGTTTTTCTTCTTCCTTATCTGGGTCAACTTACTAGAGGCTAAGCTGCAGGAGGGCTGAGAGTTGTCTCTCTCATGAGCAGCTACAACATACTTGGCTCATAGTTGACACAAGAAATATTTGCTGAATGACTAAACCAAGAAATGAATACATATCACTGGACATTTGAAAATGTAGAAGAGCATAAAGAAGCAGATAAAATCACTCATACTTCCTCCTTCTGGATATTACTTCTGTTAATATTTTGGAGTATTTCTCAGGTCCTTTTTTAATGTATATCTATGAGGTATAGTATGTATTTAACAAAAATTAAGATTATATTAAATTATGGTTTGTATCTTGCTTTTTTTCACTTATTATATTGTATCTCCACATGTTGTAAAATAATCATTTAATATATCATTTTAAGTGCTGCATTCAATTTCCTATGAATGTAATAAAATTAATTTAAGCGTTTCCCTATTGTTGGATATTGATAACTTAATTTTATCTTCTAATTTATCTACTCTCTGCTCAAACCATTCTAATAAAATTTGGGTGTTAAGATACTTCTGGTAACTGTGCCTCCCTGTGAGTTGGGTAAAAGAAAGTGACACCTTTCCTTCCAGGAAATGTCAATAGACCAATCCTTAGTTTTATATGTTTGTTATGGTCTCTCTTAATGGGGATCGACTTAGTTGATGATCTAGTTATTACGTGAGAAATAAGTGGTGAGTAAATAAATGGTTGCGTTTCTATGACTTCCTGTTTGCAAGAAGCCAGTTGACGTGCTCATAACTGAAGGATGTGCGTGGGGATCAGAGGCTGATGATCCCCATGGCACCTACTGCAGTCGTTTGGCCCAGGGATGTCTTCCTGTGGAAACGAATGAACACTCAGGTACAAAAGATCCAAGAACCCCCTCACTTAAAAAAAAAAAAAAATACTGAGACTCAGAGGCACCCTCTTGGCCAAGGTCTCACAAAAAATGGGGAAGCCTCTCACCTCTCTCCCCTTCCCCTGCCTCTGTCTGTCCCGTTCTTCCTCCCTTTGAGATTAATCTAATCTCGAACTAGACTTCAGAGAAGGCTTCAAAGAGCTGGATGAGATCTTAGAGATGAACCCCTCCAACCTCTTTGTTTTTTAAGAAGAGGAAATGGAGGTCCAGACAAGGGAAGGGTGTTGTATCAGGTCATCACACCATGGGCTTGTGGCCGTGCTGAGATGAGAACCCACTTCCTCTCCCTTCTCATTTATTGGCCTTCCCACTGCCCCAGCTTTGTGGGCCCTATAAAGTCAGCACTCAGTAGTGTCTGTCCTCGAGCTGTGTTTTCTTCAATGCTAGGGAATCATGTTATTCCACATAGAGAACTGAGAGGTCAGAGCCTTCCATTAAAGCCAGCCCACACTTACAGAGGACTGGCAGAGGGCATGGCACTACAGTTGTGCTGAGAATAAGCCAGAACCTAGCATGAAATGCCCCTCTGCATCATCCCCCACCCACCCCCGCCAGCAGCACTGTGCTCCTGCAGAGCACGGGGACCCACTTCCCACTCTTTCCACATTGCTCCTGTGATCTTTTGATTGCCCATCTCTCCCACTAGATGAAGCTTCTGAGAGCAGAAGCCCTTTTTTGGTCTTTGATTTCTCAGCACTCTATGCCCTATTTCAAGAATCAGTGCCTGGCACATAATAGATGCTCCATGAATATTTGTTGAATGAATGAATCAAATGTAAATCTCCATATTTATTTGGTGGAGTGCACAACAAAATACCACAGACTGGGTGAATTCAATAACGGATATTAATTTTCTCACAGCTGTGGAGGCTGGAATCCAAGGTCAAGGTGCTTGCAGGGCTAGTTTCCTCCAAGGCCACCCTCCTTCCACCACTTCACATGGGCTCTCCTCTATGCACACACATCCCTGGTACCTCTCTGTGTGCCCTTACCTATTCTCCTAAGAAGAGTCATGCTCCGGCAAGAAATGAACTGCCCAAGGCTACACGGCTGGTGGCAAAGCTGACCTCACCACCTAGATTTTCCTGCCTGCATAAATATAAGAAAACACAATTTAAAGAATGTTTTCCCCCCATGTTTGCCCATGCTGTCCATCCTGTTTTCACCTACTCTCTGAGTTTGGAAATTGTTCATTTTTCTAAGTTTCAATTAATCAATATCTTTCCAGCTGAAATAACTACTATGGTTCAAAATTAGGAAAATCTTAAAGAAATCGCAATGAATGTAGTTCCCTGTGTGGCTTTGTAGAATGTGTCCAAATGGCTCATTGCTGCATTTCAAAGACCAGAAGGACCTGTTGTTCTTATATCTCACAGACACTTGGTGATAAACTTAGAGATAAACTATACAGCCGTTCTGGCACGGTTTGTTTTACCAAACAAATACATTATGTCAGCAAACATCTACTGGTGCCTTCTGCATGCCAGGCACCATGCTGGCGTCTCAAGATCCAAAGATATATCATCTGGGCTCCTGGGAGAAAGGCTTTCCCATAGGGACACACATACATACACATACATACACGAGTGAATCTCACATTGTTTCTGCCCTGATTATAGCTCCTCATAGAGACCATTTTCCAGCCCTGGGATGCAGTCTGGGCCTAACCAAGAAAACAGAAACCACTCTAGGTTTTTCAACATAAGAAATGTAATTTAAGGAACTGGATGCCCAGGTGATAGGAGAACTGAGAAGCTATAAATGGGTTGGTGAGGAACCAGAGATTAGCAACGGCAGGAGGAAACCACCAGAGGGTCACAGGAGGGGGTGGTGTTACAAGATCAGGGCATGTATTTGGCATGAGCTGAAGGCACAGAGCACATGAAGCCACTGATGGAGATGCCACTGGAGAATGACAGAGAAGACAGAGCCTGCTTCTCTCCTCTTTCTCCCTCCACTTCCTATCAGAGATTTCCATCAGCCAACCTGGCTGAAAGCAACAGGCTAGGGCGCCTGGAACATGTAGATCTCTCTGATGCAAAGCAGAGCAGGCAGACTGGCACCCTGGTGACCTGGGGCAAATCCCTGTCTCTCAGTGTCTTAGTTTCCTCATTGGTAACCTGAGAAGAACAATGCCTTTCATGTTTATTGTGAGACTTACATGAAATAAAACACCTTCAAAAGCTTCAAAAGGCATGTATGCAAATGAAGGGCTTTCATTACAGGTTTTACTCCCTTGTGTTGTGAACTTCAGGCTCTAAAAAGAAGTGTGGTGACATTCAGGCGTCATCAGGAACTTTGCAATGCCTTGCTGACTGCCTAAGGGAAGTGGTTCTCCTTTGGTCATCAGCAGTCAAAAACCACCACAGATGTTCTGAATCAATTGTCACATATCTGAAAGGATGTCAGAGCAGGCCCTCAAGTGTATTGAGGATCTGCCTGCGGTTTTGAGTCAAAAAGTGATGAATGAAGAGGACTCTAGGAATTACTTCTAGAACATTTATTCCACTCTGTTCACTGGACAAAAGACCAGAGAGAGGACAGAATTTGCATGGGATTTGTACGCTAGCACACTCACAGACATACAACAGAGGAAAAACCCTCCTTCCTTGATCTTTCGATTTCAAATTAGTCTCATAGGACAGTTTTGACTTTCAACTTCTCCTTCCTCCTTTTCCATTCATCCTTATGCCTCTTTTCTTTCCTTTTAGTCTCTTGTTTTTCTTCTTTCTCATAATGTTTGGCAACTCGATTTCACAGACTTTTTCTTCTCTACACTGATGGGGAACAAAAGCTTAGCACTGAGCCACATCTATTTTAAATTAAGAAGGTGTGAACTTTTCTAGATAACTTAATTTCCCCTTTGATATTAGGTGTAAGAAAGTATCATCGCAAACTGGTTTCGTTGCCAACCTCAGGGCTTACTGTGAAAACCACATGGTACAATCGCTGCCTTTCTACTGGCAGAAAGTACAGGCCACGACCACAGCTTCTGACTGAGTGCCAGGCCACTCAAGCCAGACCCAGGAGACTGGCAGTATTATCACCCCAGTGGTACAAGGTGGCTTGACACTCTCAGCAAGATGGATCCTATCGCTGAGACTGGTTTGGCTCAGTGGATAGAGCGTCGGCTTGCGGACTGAAAGGTCCCGGGTTCAATTCCGGTCAAGGGCATGTACCTTGGTTGTGGGCACATCCCCAGTAGGGGTGGTGCAAGAGGCAGCTGATCAATGATTCTCTCTCATTGATGTTTCTAACTCTCTATCCCTCTCTCTTCATCTCTGTAAAAAATCAATAAAATAAAATAAAATAAAAAAGATGGATCCTATCTTCTGCAACTTTAAAAAATTTTTATACTAGAGGCCCAGTGCATGAAATTCATGCATGGGGGGTGGAGAGGAGGGGGGGCCTCAGCCAAGTCTGCACCCTCTTTAATCCAGGATCCCTTGAGGGATGTCCGATTGCCAGACCGCTCCTAATTGCTCACCTGCCTGACTGCCTGGTCGCCCCTAACTTCCACCCCCTGCTGGCCAGTTTGCTCCCAACAGTCCCCTCCCTACTGGCTTGGTCACTCCTCACTGCCCCCCCCCCCCCCACCAGCCTAATCACCCCCAACTGCCCCCACTCCCCACCAGCCTGGTTGCCCCCAACTGTCCCCTCAGCCAGCCTGGTTGCCCCTCACAGTCCCCCCACTGGCCTGCTCACCCCAAGCAGCCTGCTGTTCAGTCATTTGGTCATCCCTCAGGGCCGGCCCTGGGTGGCTGGGGGGCTGAGGGGACTGGGGGACTCCAGAGGCAGGCACACATGGTGGGCCCTGCATGCTATGTGCCTGCCACTCTGGCGGGGCTGAGGGGACTGGGCACCACCATCTTGTGGCTGTGGGTGCTGCCATCTTTGAGGGTGTGGCAGTCAATTAGCATATTTCCTCCTTATTGGCTGTGGGCGCTGTCATCTTTGTGAGGATGTGATGGTCAATTAGCATATTCTCTCTTTATTAGATAGGATTCTATTTTAACTTTTGTTGAATTTATGGAGGTGACATTGGTTAATGAAATTATAGATTTCAGGGGTACAATTCTGTAATTCATTGGCTGCATGTTATACTGTATGTTCAGTTCATCACCCTGTAACTTTTAATGTATCTCAGTGGCAAGTGACATTGGTCAATGGATGACAAAAGTTAAAGGGTGCTTCCCTCACTTGTCAAGTGAAGATATTGTGCTTTGACCATCTGTAAGTTCCCTTCTAGCGCTGACATTGAAGAAATCAGTATCTTTCTACAAAAGAAGACCTATTATGGTCACAGAGGCACTAGGACACTTAAAAGCCCCCTGAGTGACTCGCAAAATTTCCAGCGGCTCGCTGTGCATTGACATTTTGCTGGTGCAGAGAATGGGGCATCTTCAAATGTCAGAGCCAGAAGAGCACTGATCATCATCTTCCAAGAGTGCACTGAGGAGTCTGGGACCTGAAGCTTATGGGTACTCACCCACTGATTCCTTTGGTAGGAATTCACTGTACCCCTGCCCTGTGCCAAGCACTGTCCTGGGTCCTGAGGTACAGTAATGAATAATACAGAGGAGGTATCAAACCCTAACATATGCTAGTGGG